CGTCTGTTGACAGATCCCGCCAGACGACGACATCCAAGACGAACTCCGGAGCTCACTCGACGTCCAAGCACGCCTCTTATACGGGCTCATACACGCCCGATGGATAGTCACAGCCCGCGGCCTCTCCAAAATGGTTCGTCCTCCTCCCCCATTTCACCCTCCAACCATCTAATTTCCACCCAGCTCGAAAAATACAAACGCGCCGACTTCGGTCGCTGCCCACGCGTCCTCTGCCTCCAACAACCCCTCCTCCCCGTAGGCCTAACCGACATCCCCTACGAAAAATCCGTAAAACTCTACTGCGGCCGCTGCGAAGACCTCTACTCACCCAAATCATCCCGACACGGCTCCATCGACGGCGCGTATTTCGGAACCACCTTCCCCCATCTACTCTTCCTCGTCTATCCAAGCTTGATCCCCCCAAAGGGCGGTCCGGTGGAGTTAGGGAGGGATGCGGCGGGCGCGGGAGGGGGAGGCACGGCGGATGGCGGGAGGACGAGGAGGAGGGTGAGGGAGGAACAGGTGGAGGTTAGTGCAGCTGAGGGGGGAGGCGAGGGGATTAATACGGCGAGTGCGGCGCTCAAAGCGGATCGGTATAAACCGAGGATATATGGGTTCCAGGTTAATGAGATTGCCAAGCTGCAGAGGTGGCAGGAGGCCGTGCGGGATCGGTGAGTTGTTTGTTGGGTAGCGTGATAGGAATGCTTACCCTTGCCAATAGGCAAGTCGGTCGACTCGAAGCGCTCGAGGAGAGGACACCATAATATGACAATGATTTGTCTCTTTCCTCTTTTTTTCTTTTATCCCTCTTTCAGGATTGTGCAGTTCCCCAGACTCCCATTTCAAACTGCTGTGTTAATGATTAATGGGGGCATGTACTCGAGCACCTCTTGCTTAATTGACCTAAATATCTTCAGCACTTGCTGGCTATTGGAAAGCTCAGTGCTGGATTTTGTTATACATTGCATCTGGGAGATCTTTCTGCCTGTTGACACCAAAACCCCTCTACATTCATACAGATGTATCTGCTAATGGTAACTAGCATGAAGTCCCATCCTTACCCCCTTATTCTTCCAAGGGATATGGAACAGATACTAACAGCTGCTGAAGAATGTTTTAGGCAGTGGAGTTGCAAGTGTTGTATACTGTCTTCAGGGGATAGCTTAAGGTGATGCCAGTGGAATAGATAGGAACTGTTGAGGTTGGCAAATACATAAAGCCAACAAAGACCAGAATATCAAGTTGCTGAACACAACCTAAAAATCCTCCAGCTCTGTTCTGATGACCAAGGCTTATGGATGGACTGGGGCTGCAAAATCAGTCTTCACAGAACTTTGAGCAGAAGGTGACAATTGGACCAGGAGGGCTAGGCATAGAATGGATGACACCACCATTGTACTTACAACTAAAATCAGGTCATTCTTGCTATTCAACCTGTACTTTCTTTGATAGTGTCAGCTGCATTGAACATGTTGCACTAAGTACTACATTTAGGAGACATGAGTATTGCACAGCTGAATGAGTCAAAGTAAAACAAAATTGAGTAAAGTACATTCATCATCAGTATGATGAAATTTATTCAGTTATGAAGTTACATCTTTGTATACTGTATTTTAGTTATGCATCAGAGTAGAGAGATGTGGAAAAAAACCATAGGTTTGAAAATACATCAGGAGTCATCAGGACTGAGCAGTGTTACCTCTCTTCTTATGAATTCCAAGTGACAGCTTGGTTTTAAATTTTGAGATTCTCTTGGCAATGTTGGAACAGAGGTGACCTGGGAATATGAGCATCAAAAATATGGAAAAGCAAGTAGCAGCTCAACTAAATACCTTTCTTTTCAGAATGAATGATTGCATCATCCAGATTGGTGGTAGGTGGAAGAGTAGCTGGAGCCCCTACCAGAACTCTGTTGCTGGCATGTGGAAATTCATTGTCCACATTTCTCTCATCCATATCTTGGGTCACAGAAACTCCATGGCCTGTATTGTGAACTTGGTTCTCTGCATCATCCATCTTTGTGGACTGACTCATGGCTTTTTGTGTTGCTGCTAAATTCTGCATGGCTATGATTGTGTGTGGGTGGTCTTCTCCATAAATCTTTCTCCTAGCATCCAGAACTTGGACCTCCATCTGCTCTGCTTCTGTATATTTTCCCAGGTCTCTGTATGTTAATGCAAGATTTCCCATGGCTAAGATTGTGTCTGGGTGTTCTTCTCCAAGAATTTTCTTACTGGCATCCAGAACTTGGACCTCCAGCTTCTCTGCTTCTGTATGTTTTCCCAGATGACTGTATGTTAATGCAAGATTTCCCATGGCTAAGATTGTGTCTGGGTGTTCTTCTCCAAGAATTTTCTTACTGGCATCCAGAACTTGGACCCCCAGCTTCTCTGCTTCTGTATGTTTTCCCAGGTCAATGTATGTTAATGCAAGATTTCCCATGACTGCGATTGTGTCTGGGTGTTCTTCTCCAAGAATTTTCTTCCTGGCATCCAGAACTTGGACCCCCAGCTTCTCTGCTTCTGTGTGTTTTCCCAGATCTCTGTATGTTGATGCAAGATTTCCCATGGCTAAGATTGTGTCTGGGTGTTCTTCTCCAAGAATTTTCTTCCTGGCATCCAGAACTTGGATCTGCAGCTTCTCTGCTTCACTTGAATATCCTTGTTCACAGAGTAACCAGCCAAACCTTTCATAAGCATCATCAAAGTAATTGTTGTTATACTGCATATTCTTTCTGACATGTGTCACCAAAGTTCTCCTAAAGCTATATGACTGACTTTCATCATTTTTTAGAGAAGCAGATAATATAGCAAATGCCAACAAAGAGCTTTTTTGCTTTTCACTGACACTCATCCTATCCCCACCCCATGCATTTACCAGTGGATGCATACTATGCACACTACCAGATGCGTCTTTCTTGATTAAACAGAAAGACAGTAAGACTCGAACCCCCTCTTTAAAGTGTAGATTATCCCAAGTACCATCCTTATTCAGTGATAGCAGTTTGCGATCTAGAACAGAATGTGCCAGTGGTAAGTCAGGGTGAGACATTGCTTCATTTTCTTGAGTA